TTCTTTCAAATATCTTTATTATTCAATTAATATCTGCTAAAAATAAAATTATTGAGTAGAAATAAATACAACAGAATGGATCTGAATGATGTCTTTATTATTAATGTTTAATTATCATATAATGTTATAATTTAATAAATTCCATAATAAGCATTTCTAATAAACATAACACTGAAAAAAGTAGTTTTGTGTGTAGTAAATTGAATTATAATATTTTACTAATGTTAAGCGTATGAGCCCATACTACATTGACGCCGAATTAACATCCATGATTGGTGCCTATCAGGAAGATGTCTATGATTCTGAGGTATATCCCCAAAATTATAACTTCGCTTCCTTGCATCTATGTAGTATTAATATCATGAAGCTTTCCTTTTAATAAAAAAAGAAAAAAAATGGATCATCTCAATATGACATATAAAAATTAAATTCGCATGATATATTAATACAATATAAATTGAATTTACAAAAACTTCAACTTTTTTATTTAAATCTTTCTAATAAAGAAAAAAACAAATCTGAATTTTTTATATTTGAAATTTTTCTAGCAATACAAATGAATGGATAAATTTGACTTTTATTAATATATTTGATTTTTTAAATTATTAATATTAATAATAAGTTATCTATTTTATTATTTATCAAACTTAATTTCATTATTTATAAGTATTATTATTATTTATTAATTATTATTTGTATTAATTATATTTATAATTATTATTTATAACTATTATTATTATTATTTATAATTTTTTTTTATATATAATGATATGTAATAAGATAATATTGCTATGAACTTATTAACTCATTATTAATTATTATTAACTCATATTATCATCACAATAACAGTAATAAAATTTTATTATTATTATTGTTTTATTTTTTGTTATTTTATTTATTTATTTATTAATTGATTATAAAATTTTAAAAATTTTAAATGTTCATATTTATCAAATTAAATATTGGTAAATAAATATTATATCATAAATTTATATATATTTATATATATATTTTTTATTATTCTATGAAATGGCAAAAAAAAATTATAAAATTTATATTATATTATTTCAATGATAGGACAATTAAACATTTAATAGGTTTTATGTACATATATATCTTATTTATACATGTATATTTTAATATATTTTATTTTGATTAAAACTTAATATATAAATATAATAAATTTGACTTCATAAATGATATATATCATACTTCAATAAATGATAATATTTCAATAAATAATAAGTTGCATGCTTTATATTAAATATATAATTATATATTTAAAATAATATAAATTTTACAATATATATATAAATTTATATTATATTTATAAGGTAAAAAACAATTATTTTTCTATATTAATTGCATGCAAATCAGATATTATAAATATATATTATAATTATTATTATAATTATAATATATATTTCTGAATATATATCTTTTTTAATAAAAATAATATGTTATTATTCCTTATTATTAAAAATTATGAAGATATAAGCATGATACCTTATTATGAATTATAAATTTTTATTATAAAATAATATTTATAGTGAAAAAACTTTCATTTTTTTTCACTATTTTTATTTTTAGTTACAGTTATATTAAATTTAAAATGCATTTATTCTTCAAATAATTATAAATTTTATGAATTTTTTTCAAATATAATTGTTTATATTTATATTTCTATTTATTTATATTTTTTATAATAAATGCTTCTTAATCTTAGTTACAAAAAATCTGGTATATTCATTTAATTAAAATATAAAATTAATGGCTATATATTTCATTCATTTATTAGGATGAAGATGGCAATACATCTAAAGAGAATGCAGCCAGTTTTGAAGAAACAATTATATCACTGGATGAAAAATTTACTCAAGTATTAATTCGTCTTTTAGATAGAATATGTAATTTAGGATATGATAATAATAATGAAAAACTTCTTAACGTCTTTTGTAGGTAAGTTATAAATATTTATTTTAAAAACTGATCCATAAAATGCAGTACTGAAGCAAAAATAAAACTTTTTAAAAAAAAAAAATAAAACATAAAATGTTTTTGAGAAAATCAATTAAATTAAAATCAAATTTTGGAAAATTAAGTCTTGAAAATATATTTTTTTTCTTTTGAATTTATTATCTTATTTATATGGATTACAAATATTAAATAGAAGAAAGATTTTTCTATTTTGAAATTTTTGTTTTCTTGCTTTAAATAAAAATATTATTTATTTATTAATTTCACATATATAATCTGAATCTTTTACACTTTATTATTAATTCATTTAAATATTAAATATTTGTCAGCATGTCTTACAGATTTTGGATTTGATGCCTTAATAAATGAAAATTTAGAATTATTAAATTTAATGATCAATATTTATATAAGCTGAATTTTAATTTTATTGTAGTCTATCCAATATTAATGTTATCAATTTAAGAAATAATTTATAATTCAAAAAGATGTTTTATAATAAAAAAAAGAGATAATTAAGATAATGATATTTATAAGTGATATTTTATCATGTTAAAAAAATATATTTATATTTCTTGTTTCAATAATATCTATTTTGCAATTCAAATTTTAGTATTTACTTAATTTTTAAAATCAATTTTCTCAAAAATATTAATTAAAAATTAAACTGCCTAATAATGCTACATTTTATGAAACATTCATTATATTTTTTATATAAAACAAAAATAAAATTTTCAATATTGTCATTAAATTTTATTTTTTCAACTAGGTTAGATTTCAATTTATTTTATACCGATATTTTAATAAAACGTGGAAGAGAAAAAACAATACAAGAAGATGTTTCTGGTTAACTATTACAGAAGAATATATATAACCATAAATTGTAATTTTATTATTTATAATTTGTGATTAATTATTGTAAATTGAAATTATAATGTTATAATTATGCAATTATATCGGTTAAAAAAGTTTATAATCAGATAACATATGTTAGATCTATTTATATTCTACGCTATATTTATATAATAGTATTCTAATTTATAAAATCAATTTCATGTTAAAACGTAATTACTAATTAATATAAAAAAATTTACAAACAAATTTAATGTAATCATAATGTAATCTGTTAAACATTTTATTTAAATTATCTAAATTCACCTGAAATTTCTTTAAAATTATATAAATTGCTAAAATAATGATATTTTGTACATTTAAAAAATAAAATATATTTTATAATAAAAAAATATAAAATAATTCTTAATACTCATATTAAGATATTTATATAATTTTATTTCTATACAAAAATATATTTTATATATAATATTAAATTATTATGTTATAACAACAGTACAAAAATTTTATATAATAAATTTAATCAATATTGTATATTAAAAATAAACAATAAAATTTCATTTATAAATTTATTGTAAATACTTAATTAATAATTTTTTTATTATTTATATAAGAAAATAGATGTATTAATTATAAAATGATGAACTATTTTATTATATATAACATAATAAACATATATAACATATTATATACATAAAAGTATTAATATATTTGAAAGATCAATTCTAAATATTAAAACAAAATATAAAAGTTGTTATATAAAAATATTGATTGAACTTTATTTATTTAGTTATAATACATTTCATATATAACAATTAATTTTATATTAATAAAACAAGATAGAGTGAAACAAATTTCTGACACAATGATTCAAAGACTTAATAAAATTAAACAATATTATTTATAATTTCTTCCCTTTAACTATTCTCTCATGTTATTAAATATTAATAGTCATTAAATATAATATCAAGTATATTTTTTTTTCATAACTTGTTTATTTCAGTCTTAATATTAGCCTCTATAATAAAAATTTAGAAAAATATTCTATAATATTCTATAATAAAAATTTATTATATATATTATATTATATAGACCTTAAATAAATTTTTATATGATTAAATAAATTATATAAAAATTATATAATTATATGATTAAATAAATTTATTTAATAAAAATATTACAATAATGTTAAATAAAACTAGTATAAAAGTATAATACTTTCAATAAATAGCATAGGTAGAAATTTAACCATTCAATCACAGTTGTAACAAAATTAAAAAATGAAAAAATAACATTTTAATTTTCATGTTCTAGAATATTACAATTATTATTTTCAATCTTTTTTTTTATAGAATTTAAAATAAACTCCATTGTCACGAATTTTTTTTCCAATTTTTCCAATTTATTAAATATTTTTTCATTGTCTGATTCTTGACCTTTTTTCATTAGAATATCTTTAGCCTGTTTAATAATATCTGGATCCATTTTAAAGGTAGGAATCACTTTATTTTGAGAATTTTTATTTAATTCTACTTTATCGTATAACTTACTTTCGTAAGTTTCCAAGCTGTCGTATGGTATCACATTCAGCTTACCACTATTTAAATAGTTCGGAAAAAGGAGAATTTTCTGAATAAGAAATGCTAATGGATTACATCTCCAGCCATATAAGAGATTGCAACAAATTAAACAATATGGTCCATGTATAAAAGGTGCTTGAATAATCACATTTTCAATGTAAGCAAGAATTCGTATTCTAGAAATTAATCCTACCAATTCTGCCTTTTCAAGAATGTTCACAGTGTCGCTGACTGCTAAACCATTCAGTAAATTAAACAACACTATTGCGATAAGGAAGACAAAGAGAATAAAAACAAAATGACTAAGAATAGGATGCGAAACAAAGGGAATATCATTAGCGTCAAATTCTCCAGTGAGCATGATAATAGTCTTGAATAACGAATGCCCAGGATCTGGAAAATTTTCATTATCGCCATCTTTAAAAAGAATGAAAAAAGCCAGTGCAAAAGCTAGGATAAGAAACGCATAAAGAAACAAAAAACGTATGAAATTGAAAGACACTGTTTTAAACATCTCAATACCAGTGGACATTCGAGGATGCTTGCCAATCAAAATTACCAATTCCCAGGCAGATAATAATATTATAACGGCAGCGACTTGTGTGGTAGCGCCATTTAGAATATAAAATCCAAGTATTATTAATGCCATTTCGATCCAGTTTTCCAAACTTGACATATAGTGACACGGCGAAGAGAGTAATTGAAGAATTTCTCTGAATGCAAATAATGCTGTCATAATGCCAGTAAATATTTGTAAAACATAGATCGAAATTGAATTTTTTATTTCTCCATTCATCTGTTCACTCGAATTCGTCGATATTTGTGTATTTTTCACGTAAGTAATTTGCAGAATATAAATGTTTAACAGAAGATAAAATAAAATATAAAATGCAAAGTTTAGATACAAAATGTATCTTATTCGATGCCATTTGAGATATAAAAAAGATGACAACAAAGGATGTTTTAACAAGTGTTTTAAACTATTATTGCTAGCAATATATTGGAAAATATCCATTTCTCGTTTTTCTTGATTTTTAAAATTATTTTGTTGATTTATCATGTATGAATTATCGTGAGGCATTAAACATTTGTAATTAAATTCAATTGTATATTCGTTTGTTCGTTCTTTTCTAGCTACTATACAATCGTCAAAATATTGAGATAAAGTGGATATAGAGATATCAGCAACTGGTGGAATGCCGAAATTATTCATGTGACCGATATAGCTTCCTTTTTCGAGTAACAATGTCACCGCCTCACGACAATCAGCTTTTGCTGCGTAGTGAAGTGGAGTATTTCCTTTGCCTATATATAAAAGTTTTTTATGATTTATTATTCTAAAATTTAAAAATCCTAATAAAGTTCGTTTTAATACAATAAATGTATTATATATATAAGGATAAAGCAATTTTAAATTTTTTTATTTATTTCTAATACAAAATAGTTTCGAGACATTTTTTATGATATAATATATAAAAAAATTATTTTTATACGTGACACTACTTAATATAAATATATAACACTTACCATCTGTGCATCGAACATCCACATCCTCTCTTTCCAAGATTAGATTGAAACATTCCAAACGATCATTCATATCTTCCGATCCTCCTTTATGTGGTATATTGAGTTCTATGCAAGCATTTAACAACAAATCGTTTTTAACTTCAATATCAGTTTCCAATATTCGTCGAAGGATATATGGTGAACCTCGTTGAATTGCTAAATTCGCAGCCTTTTCTAAGTTACATTTAATTTCTTTTGTTCTTTCTAGCAAAAGAATGATTGCTTCTTTGAAATTTTTCTGTACGGCCATTTCAATCAATTTCTCTAAATCATTGTTTAACATATCATTTTGAACGATTTTTAAACATCTTAAAAAATTCATCTCATCATTGGCATTTAAATAATACTTCAAATCATGAATATTTACATTTCGTTCCTCAATAGGGGGCAATGAAATATTCGGTATTTTTTTTTGTAATATTTGCCTAGTAGTTTGATTGTTATAATCTTTATACGTATCTAAATTTAAGGCGTGTCTACTTTTTTCCAAAATTAGATTCACCATATTTCTGTAATCCTTCATGGCTGCTATATGCAAAGCTGTTAAACCTTTGTTATTGGGAATATTAGGACTGGCGCCTTTTTCTAGAAGCAATGACGCACATTTCAGATCATTCCTCTTCACTGCTATATGCAAAGCTGTTTGTTGTACAACCTCCAGGTTTGGATTTATCGTGGGTTCATCCAATAATATACTAAGGACATCCGCATGGCCATTTTCGGTAGCAAAGTGAATTGGTCCACGATTATGGGCTTCGTTGATCCTGTTCACCTTCGCCCCTTTTTCCAATAGAAATTTCACGAACTCTGAAAGGCCATTCTTGCAAGCGATGTCCAAGCAAGTTTCATTCGATTGATTCGGATAGGCATAGTTTATATTGATGACAGGTGGTTGTTTCTTCAAATTCTGCTCAACAAGACATTTGAAATGTCTAAAATTTTTTGTTCGTAAATAATCTAAAAGTAGCTTATATATCGTTTGAGATTTTATAGAACTTGTAGTATAATCGTGCAAAAGATGCATTTGCAAGGTTTCATCCTCAAGATCCATACTCGAATCTGAAATTATTAAATTATTAATTATTAAAAGATTAAATTATTAAAAATTTTCATTATTAAACTTTGAAAAATCGATATTTTTTTTATTTTGATTTGTATGTGATAAAGTATTAATAAATTTTATATAAAGCTATATATTATATTTGGAATAAAATATATTATTTCATGTCTGCGTAAGTATAACGAATCATCATGATATATTTTTAGCAATGATGTCATTAATGTATACTTATGTCGTTGACAAAGCAATTAAATATTAAATCATTACATTTTTGCAAACACTTACTTAAAAAAACTATCTCTATATATTATAATATAAAAAATTAATAATTTTTAAATAATTTAAAAAAAACATATTTTATCTAGTATTTTTAACATATTCGTTATATATTCTATTTATTAAATAAATTCAAATATAAATACAATTATAAAACATGAAGTAAATACGTATTTGTCATGCATGGAAGCAAAAATATTGCCCGGATGCGTTTCCTGTCATTAGCATTAATTCAAATTCAGACAAATAAGAAACGTTGACAACGATACCATTGAATTCATTGATCGTTAAATAACCCGTGCAATAATACTACAAGCTTTGTTATCTATGATGGAATATCAAATATCATTGTAAGACGACGAATAAAGATAATTATCATTGTTACAATATTCCGAGTTAATAATTAAAATATTTTCATTTAACTGAATCGGTTGAATTTACATTAATTATTTATTTATGTTTTGTTAATTGTTTTACGCCTCAAAAAGAAAAATGATCAAATAAACGATAAGCAATATCGTTTCCTTATTGAACCAATCGATAATTTTTTATAACATAGCTTTACAAAAGAATAAAATGAATTTAAATCATTACATTAATCATTATTTTTAAATGGAATATTTTCATTGAAATTATATATGCTATATATATTATGCAATGATATTATATATATTATGTAATGATGAATGATTGAAAGAGAAAGAATTTATATTATTATGTATCTTAATTTCTATTTTAAATTGAATTTATAATTAATAATTTAGAATCATTGATTATGCGTTTCATTTATTTTATTTGATGTATATAAAAATAACATAATTTTATGTTATATAAATTTATTTATGAATTTAGTATTAAAATTTGCTTATTCCAATATATTGAATGACACACCTTTAATTATAATTTATCAAGTTTCACTTTATATAAATAAATATATTAAATTATAGTTTGAATTTTGATATATGAACAGATTAAAAGATGGACATAATGTTAAGCACTATCTATAGATTAAGATAAAAATATACACCTAAAACGATGATGTAAAGAAAATATAAATCCCTTAACGTACTGAACTTGTCATACAGATAACTAACTTGTAGGAGCTGCTTTGCTGACCAGTTCTGTGGTGGAAAGTGATGTCAGCGTGGTTAAAGAGAGGGGAATGATAAAGTGTCAAGCAGACAGAATTTAAGTGATTTTGCTTCTAACAACGAAGAATGTATGTTTTTTATCATCAAATGAAAGTTAAACGCTTTTATTGAAATAAAAATAAAACATGATTTTAATATGTGTAATATATATGTATAGTTAAATTGTATTTATATATAATAATTAAATACGGAATTAGAAAATAGAAATATAATGAATTTTTAATTTTAAAATTTTTCCTATTGTACAATTAAAAAAAACATATATATTTCTCATTTATAGAGAATTATTAATTATTAGAAAATAAATATGTAAATATATAATGTATATGTAGATAATTATATGTATCTTATCTTTGATGTTGAAATATAAAAATATACTTATTAAAACTTATTAAATATTAATAGTTATTATATTTTTTAAATATTTCAAAGTCGAATAATAAAAATTCTTAAAATAAATAATATTTTTAAAAAAGATCGATATTTTTAAAATTTTATAAAAAAAAAGATTGTAAAAAAATTGGTTTTATCATTATATACATTTTAAATAGTGAAATAATTTTATTCTGAAAAGTTTTTTAGTCCAATGATAAGAAATGGAAGTAGTTAGCTATCCTTCTTTCTCATGATTTACTTTGTATATTTAAAAACAGAACTAAATAAATTTTACACTCATTTTTTTACATCGACAATAATGTAAACTCCTAATTTTAGCTGTCTTTTGCCTTGAGTACACAAGGTTATAAAAGTCAAGGATGGAAACCAAGAACGTTAGGGTACGTGGGTTGCGAAATCCAGTCTATCCAATAAAGGAGCCAAGGAGATATTTTTTCAATAAGTAAATGAAACATCGAAAATATTACATTTTAATACAATTCTTTTTTGAAAATATAGCATTTTTTATTTTAAAAAAAAAATAAAATAAAATTTATTTAAAATTTATTCTACTTTTCTTTTATTTTTATAGTATGTTTCTTATAATATTTTATTATAGTAATATATTATTATATAATAATAAGAGACATAATAAAATATTATAATGTGTTATTATAATATTTTATTATGTCTTTTAGATTATTTCTTTTAATTTTATAAAAAATATAAAAAAATATAAAGATATTGCATTAAAGATTGATTTTCTTACAATTTTCTAAATATAGACACAGAATTGAATTTGAAAAATTCATGATCAATAAAGAATCAATATCTTTTTAAATTTTTCTTTATTTTTCTTTACCACGTATTTTTTCATTCTTTTCTTAAAAATGTATTATTTAATTCAATTGCAAGGATTGTTTAGAAAATAAGGGATAAAATATAAAAATTTAATATTATACTATAAAGAATATTTTTGTATTATAAAGAATAACTAAAGCGCATGCGTCAAATAGTTTCAATCATAATATTAAGGATCGCGTAGTAGGGATACTAAAGCACATGTTACGATAGCGTGTGTTAATTTTCAGTCGCTCAGAAACATTCCTCGGGTGCAGGTATTCGACAATCTTTGGTGCTTATTTCTATAATATTTGTAAAAAAGTTTACAAGTTGATCTGTCAGTTTTGTTATTGTTCACGGTTTTTTTCAACAAACTACTACTTTTTCTCAATACGTTTCGTAAAATCAAGGTAAATATTATGATACATTTAACTATTTTTATTATATTTAATATTTTTTAATACATTTATTTCAGTATATATTTGATACGTGAATTAAATATTTTCAAAAATTTAAAAGAATTATAAAATATTCCGTTTAAGATCAATTATATTTCAATATAACTCATATTTTAATTTTTAAAATAGTAATAAAATACGAAGTTCATTTACATTATGATTTATGATAAAAATGATAAATGTTATTATTAAATTGAAGATTACTAAAAATAATAATATAATATTATTTTATAATTATTACAATCATAATTAAAATTTTATTTATTACATCATTATTATATTATTTATCTTTTAAACCAATAAAAATTTAATCAATTAATAGATGTTGTAATAAAGTTATGTAAGAATATAGTTAAAATTATATTTTTAATTAAAATTAATTTTAATTATATTTATAAAAAAATTATATAATTTTATAATAATTTTCTTCTATTCTATTTTTTTATTCATACAATATTCATTCACACACTATATAAGAATCAATTAATTTCAACAATCAATCAATAAAAAATTAAATTTCAAACTTTGTTCACAGAAAAAACCTTGTTATACAATCATCAAAGATATTTTAGTTTTGATTACGCAGATCTTTACGATGAGTAATTCTGAATAACATGTAATGTAAATAAATATTATATCATCGTTGCATTAATGAATTTGCCAATTGTAACATTATACAAGCAAAAATCGTAATTTATAATACTAGTTTTGATAAAAATCAATTGATATATTATATTATATGCAAATAATTTATAATAATATATAATATATAAATTATCGCGATATTTATTTTTTAAATAAATATTATCGATAAGATAAGCAAAAATATAATTACTTAAATACTATAAATAAGTATTATTTTCTTATAATATTATAAAAAATTTTCGAATTTTTATTTCGATAAAATAAAGTAAGGATATAAAATATATTTCTAAATATTAAATATTAATTCCAATATATTATTGCGAAGTATTGAAAAAGAAATCGGAAAAGCATTAAATTTACAAAAAATTTTATTAATCAATTATTTTAAATTTTTAATTTATAATGGATATTTTTATAATCAACTGTATGTTAACATTTATTTATCATGTTAATATGCTAATATTATTATATAATATTATTAGAATCTCAATAATTTACTTGCTTTTAATTATTTTTTGTAAATAAAACATTAATATCCAATAACTAATATTTCTATTAAAATACATATTCTTTATATAAAATTTTGTAATATATAATCTATAATTTGTATTAATTCTGATTCATCTCATGATTAAATATGAATGACAAGTAACTAATAATTGAATAATTTAACTTTATTTAATAATTTAACAATTTTAAGATTATTTAAATCTTAATTGATGTGATAGTAATATTCATTATACATTATAGAAAATATAAAGAATTTAAAAAATTAAAAATTTTTAAATATCAAAACAGTAATAAATAATGAAATATCAATATAAATAATAAGCAATATTAAAAAAAACTTAACTAATATTTATATACAGCATACATTAGTATTAAATGATAGAATTTATGAAATTTATGAAATAATAAATCATTTTTTGTATGCTCAATTTTTGAAGTAATTATTAATTCTTATTATTTATCTTATTATCATATTATTTAATTTCTATATATTGATTGATTTTCGAATATTTTTAATCGAATATAAGAGAATATAAGAGAAATCTTTTTATCTTAATTTTGTGATGATAGTTAATTAGATAAACTTTAATTCTCTTTGCCTGTTGCACATTTAGTTAGATTATAAGAAATAATAATATGTGAGAATGACTAAGAGTCTCTGGCTTTTGCCATATTGGGTATGTTCCATTAAATGATTGATTCTTGATAATTATGAAAATATCTCGTATAATTTCAAGACATTAATTCGGTCACGTGACGATCACTTTTGCCTTCATCGAATAAAGAAAGATTTATTGCCAATTTAGATCAATTTTTAACAATTGCACATCAATATATATTTGATCATTGCATCATCATTTTTTCTTTCTATTTTTTTTTTTTTTAATTTTTTCTCTTTCTTCGATTTTGTTTCGATAGATATATAAAACACGATATATTTTTCTTAAATTAAAAGCAAAATTCTTCTCGAAAAGCATAAATATATCATCGAGATGAAAAAGATATTTCCACTATAATGGTAACAATAATATAAAACATTTTATATCTATTTCAATAATTAATCCCAAAAATTTCTCTTTATTATATAATAATAAATCTAAATATAATTAATTAATAAATTTCTATAATCTAGATTCACTTAAAGATCGTATTACAATTATTATGCCGTTAGTATATGCGAATGGAACAACAAAATACTATAAGTGGGTCATGAGTCATTCCGTTTAACCTGCATTTGTTTGGCTTATTTGTACGCTATACAATTTGTTATATTCATGTCTTATTCAGTCCAATGTCGAATGGTGGGCGATTCTGGATATATCCACCATGGACATATTCTTATATGGTTATTCGTGAGTCGTTTCTTTCGTGGACTATCTTTCAAAGTCGTATTTATTGCACAATTTCAAAGGAAATCTCTTCTTCTTTTCTCACAAGAAAAAGCATATGTTCGGTACATTTTTATTAACTTGATATTAAACGAATAAATAAAATTAGCATATATATTTTTTTTAAAATATCGGGATGATCCGATTGAAAATTAGATATAGAAATTTTCTTTTCGTTCTTTCAAAAAATATGAAGGAAAAATTTATTTTATTTTTTTTTTTTTTTTTTTTTTTTAGGTAAAGGGAAGGTAAAAGTAAATACGTCATAAAAAAACATGGGTATGACACAAAGACCGTGGACACCAACAAAGAGGAGAGGTCCTATTGCTGCAGAGTACAATAGTCCTGGTCCTGCTTGTGTAACATTACCCCCGTTGATCGGTAATAATTTGGACATAGAGTATGATTATTGTTAAAATTTAATATAATGAACAAAAACATTTCAATAAAAAAAAAAAATACGAATTTTTTAGGAAAAATTGTCCCCGATTCCAAACGAGGTAGAGCTCCTGCTTTCTCATTTGGAAGCAGGTACATAAATTCGATTACTGGTTTTAATTTTCTATTAATAATTTTTACTAAATTTAATTTAATTGTATTTTTACATATTTTTAGACATGCAACGAAAAATGATAGCCCTGGACCAGGTCCTGGCCAATACAATATTTTCGGACTTAGCGCGAAAGGTAAGATAACATATTCGTGTTAAACATAAAAAATAGCTATTATAGATACAGAAAATTATAGTCTTATCTTTTATCTTTGTTAATAAAGATAATCGCAATTATCAGTAGATAATAACAATTAAACAAAGAGGAATTAAGAGTGTCAAGTATTTAAAAAAACTTGTGTTATGATACATTATTTTAATTACTCGTTTTACTGAATCCAAGGAAAATTCTCCCAGAAATATATGTATTAATATAATTAAATATGTAAATATATATATATATATATATAAAAACAATCCAAACTTACAGATGCAATTTATTAATTATTGTTATAATACAAATATGCGCAAAGATATGTAAAATTTATATTCTTTGGAAAAAATATATGATTTTTATATTGTGTTCCTTTATAAAAAATGAATTTTCGATTATATTATTCGTTCACGCAAATACAAACGAATTCTAAATTGTAAAAAGTTGTAAGTTAAAACAAAAAATATAAATTCTAATAATCGAATCATAAGTAAAAATAGAAATATAATTACTAAGAAATTACTAAAAGAAATATAAATGAACTGATAATTTTGTGAAAACAAGAAATGAATGGTATGGATAATGCTATTCTCTATATCTAATTAAGTATTGATCAAACTTCAGGATAGTAATATTTCGTAAGAATATTTCGTACGCTTTTAATGATTCTTATTCACGAAATTCCTTTACTTTCCTCTGAATAAATCGATTTTAATATTGAGCAAATTTTTAATATTGCACGTTTATAAATTTTTGATAATATTTATATTTTTTTTTATCATAGTATATTTAACGAATTTTTACGACATTATATAATTGTACGATAATTAATTTTTTATTTTATAAAAGAATATTAAAATTAAAAAGATTCATTTATGAAACATATTATTATATTAATTATTAATTTGTTTTTTTATTTTATTGTAAAAATTTGATCTGTTGATATTATAGATATCTTCTATTAAAATATTTTATTTTATTCTTAATGTGTTATGTTATTAAACAAAAAATAAATAATATATTAGATATATGGACTTTTTGGCATATTGAAAAACATTTTTATCAAAAACATTAAAAAATAGATATTAAATAGATAGTAAATATTTTAAAATCCTATCAAATATTTAATTAAATATTATGTGATATAAATATTTTAAGTCTTAATCTAATCAATTTTCTAAATTTGTTTTTTTTTTATCAAATTTCTTGTTAATGTTTAAATTTCGTTAATTTTTTATTGATAAGTTTGAAAAAATTGTTAATAAAATTGTCCATTGATGTAGGAAAAGATGCAGCACCAGCATCATCATTACATAGTCGCATGAAATCCACGAAACAGGAAATCACACCAGCGCCTGGTGATTATAATCCAGAAAAGGCAGAAAAGATTATTCTGGATCACTCACCAAAATACTCATTTGGCATGAAAACTCAAACTGAAAAAATTAATTGTACACCTGGTAAGTATTTCGTATACATATATTGCAATAAAATAGATTTAAGGAAAGTTAATTTTATATTAAGAAACAAAAATTATTTTCTTAATTTTTTAAACCCAGTAAATAAATTATAATAATTATGAAATTATAAAGAGATAATATTATAAAATGTGATTGAGAAAAATAAAAAAGAAAAATAAAATATCGATTTTTTGGAATAATTTGTAATTGTGAAAAATTATGATGAATAATTTTTGTTGCATTTTCTTGCATGTTTCGTTATCAACTTCATCTAAAATTTATTATGATAAATACCGATGATAATCATATCATCTTAATCGTAGCGCCAAATGACTATTGCACCGAAAAAGTGAATTTCAACAAATCGCCCGAGTACAGTTTCGGCTTGAAACCTGTACTGGACAAATCAAGCGATATACCTGGTAATTAAGTATATCAAAATAATATATAAATCTTATATAAATATATATAATATTATATATATTATATCTTTACAGAGGCTAATTAAATAACAATATTTTAATATTGATAATCAATTTTTTGAATTTTGAAAAAAATAAGACTTAAGAGATTAAAATAAGACTGTTTTAAATTATCTCGTTTAATACTCAAATATATAGAAAATTTTATATAGAAAATTTCTTTCTTATTTTTAATTTAAAATATTAGAATAAAAAGAAGTCAATGATAAAAAATAATTTCATTTCTTAAAACAGAGATTTATCATAAATAATACACATTTTCTACAATAAATTAAAAAAATCACGCATACATTAATTTTATTAAATTAGATGTATTTTTCTATAATTTTATTAACTCCGTATGCATTTGTGAATTTCTTGAAAAAATCAATATCGTGTTGCATGACTGTCCATTGATTGTAGGAATTGCCTAGAATGGAGATTTCTGCGTAAGCGCAATTTTAAATGTTCGAAGAATAAACTTTTAGGTATTCTTAGATTTTTAAATAACGACAATATTGTTCAGCTTTTTATTTTATTTTGCAATTGTAGTTTGATGATTAATCGCATCTTTGCTATTTGAATTTTTTTGTAAATATTTACATATTTTCTGCAGATAGATCAGTATTAATAAAAACAATGCTTATGATATATTTGCATGCAATTCTGATATTTATTTAATATTATATTATAATTTATTTAACAAAAAATTACAAAAAAATATTAATACATTTTTTTATAATTATAGAAAAATATTTTTCAAATTGTTTTATAATAAATTTTATTTTATAAACTTTCTCTTTTTTATTTTAATCATTATGAAATATATTATATATTTATTAATATACTTTTCATTTTTATTATTTTTTTGCTATTATTTATTTTTGAAAAGAAATGTAATTAATATTGGTATATTATAATATTAGCACCTGGAACTTATCATCCTGAAAAGGTAAGATTGGACAATACACCGCAGTACAGTTTTGGAGTTAGGCCTCCTCTCGTAAAACCGAGCGATAATCCAGGTAATCAAAAATTTATAACATTTGATTAAAATTTCGTTAACCAAACTTCTGTTATTTGAATCATTGACAAAAATTAAAATTAGTAATTTCTCTAAAAACAGAAAATATCCATAATAAATTTAGATTTATTACTTTTTCAATAATGTAATTGTATAATTTAATAAAATTTATTAAATATTTTAATAAATATAAGTTTATGATAAATTTAACATATATTTGTTTGGTCAATGAAATAGTAATTCTAATTTCTAATTCTTTCTTGATAAACACACAGTAATATATTTCATATAAGAGATCATAAACGAGATCTTATCTATAATATAGAGATTTATTTTGCACTTCATCTTATCTATGATGATATGTATGATGTTATGTTTATTCTGCACTTGTAATAATATTTAGTAATCATAATTACCATTCACATATTTTAACTTATTTATTTTATATATATATATATTTTTATATATATACCTGGTTTGTATTGTCCTGAAAAAATCAATTTAGAAAAGATCCTTAATACAATTTCAATTCCTTAATACATCTCTGGAAAAGATTGAGTAGAGAAACCTGATAATATACCTAGTATAAAAAATTTCAATAATTTATTAAAACATAAAAAAATAAAAGTATAAAATATATATAAAATAATAAAATAATAAATGATTTAAAAAATTCATTATAAATAAATTATATATTCATTATAAAAAAATTAAGTATTTTGTAAAAATATGTAAAAAAATAAAAAAGAAAATATTTTTTCATAAATTATCTAATTAATAAATTATAAAAAAAAATTATTCTCAGCACCAGGTACGTATTGTCCAGAAAAAGTAAAACTGGATACAACGCCGCAATTTACTTTTGGACTGAGGACTCCTCTCGAAAAAATAAATGATACTCCAGGTAATTGCAAAGGGAAAGATTCAATTTTTTTTATTTTTTTATATCAATATACGCTCATTTTATTTACTTACTTTGATACATATATAATTTCGAAAAATTTAATTCAAATAAAGTATATAATTTAAATGATTTTTTTATGAAAATTTAATTATAATCCATTTTCCTAAAAAATAAATCCAAAACTCTAATCTGTAATTATTGGATTAAAATTAAAAATATATGCATATATTCTTTATGAATATAATTTTTATTGAAAATTAAAAATTTTGCTTTTCAATATGATATTAAATATCATATTGAATATCTAATAATTCTGTAAAAATGAATTTTTAGCACCAGGAACTTATGCTCCTGAAAAAGTAAATCTTGATAAAGCACCACAATATACTTTTGGATTAAAAATATTTCTTGATAAGCCAAATACTAATCCAGGTACAAATATTAAAATTATTCTATTATTTTTATTATTTTTTTTTTCATTTATCAGTAAAGAAATTTATAAAAAAATTAATTACTTTATTACCTTTTTATTATTTTTCTATAGCACCTGGAGATTATTGTCCAGAAAAAATAAATTTGAATAAAGGTCCAGAATATAGTTTAAGTGGTAAAGGACTTTCTGAAAAACCAAATGATATCCCTGGTTAGTATAATTAATTTTTCTTATTTCTTTATTATTTTGTATTTATTTATTTTATTATTATTTAATTATATAAAAATTTCTAATTAACATTAAATTCTTATTGGATAGAATTTATGTTTTTTTTTATTATATAGCACCTGGAACATACAGTCCTGAGAAAGTAAATTTAAATAAAGGTCCACAATATAGTTTGTATGGGAAAGGGATTTCAGAAAAACCAAACAATAATCCAGGTGAACGTTTTTTATTTTTTTTTAAATGTTTTTCGTATTGATTATTATTTAATATATTATTGTTTTAGATTAATGTCTTCTTATATTTAATTTTTCTAATAGCACCAGGAACATATAGTCCTGAGAAAATAAATTTAGATAAAGGTCCTCAATTCAGTTTATCTGGTAAAGGATTACCAAAAAAGTTCAATGAAAATCCAGGTGAATTTAATTTGGTAAATTGCTGGAGCTTCTTATTTTGAAAATTCATTGGTATAGGTTTTAACATTCTGTAGAAATAACTAATGTTTTGATTGCTTTGGTAGGCCCTGTTGATTACTATCCAGAGAAAATAGTAAATTTGGAACATAAACCTTATTTCAGTTTTGGTAATAGAAAACCTTTGGATAAGCCTAGGGATACACCAGGTAATGGTGTTGATTAACAAATTATTAATAACAGCTATTCCAAAATTTAAAACATTTTTTAATAAAAATCTTATGCTTCTAATATTCCAATTTTTATTTTGAAACATATCTTGAAAAATTTCTGCTTTTTTCTTTTACAAATTTCTTTTTCTTGCTTATAATTTTATAACTTTATAACTTTATAATTTTGCAATTAATATTATTGCTAAAAATATTAATTAATTAAATAATTAATTTTAAAATTACAAGCTTTTTATAATATAAATTTTACGTAATATTAATATTTTTTAAATTTTATATATTTTATTTTAAATAATTGTACATAAACATATAAAAAGATAAAAATATTGTAAATAAAAATCATTAATGATATTTACAATTATAAAATTATTTTTTGATTATATGTTATAACATGTATTATATTATGTTTTAATTTATGTATAAATTCAAATATTTTTTCGTTATATTTTTTAACATTGCATTAGTATTCTATTTTTTACTTTGTAGCTCCTGGTACTTATTCTCCAGAAAAAGTCAATTTAGATAAATCGCCACAATATTCATTTGGCTTAAAAACATCTTTAAAAAAAAATAATGATATACCTGGTGAGTAATATTAAGTATTATTTTTATACTATTGTCTATTAAATATAAAATTTATAAGTAGAATTTATAGTTTAATATATAGAAGTTACTTGCTTTAATATTATAAAAATCTAGCTCCAGGAAGTTACCATCCTGAAAAGGTAAATTTAAATAAATCACCCCAATATAGTTTTGGAGTTAAGACTGAAATATGTGAAACAAATTCTATACCAGGTATAGTATATAAAATTTAATGTATTTTTTGTTTTTTGTATTTGTTAAATAGATTTAATATTTGGTTTAAAGGTCCTGGTGAATATAGTCCAGAGAAAGCTATGCTTTTATTAGAAAAAGCATTGCAATTTACTTTTGGTCTTAGAACAAATATAAATAGATCAAATGATATTCCAGGTAAACTTACAAGATTCGCTTATTCTATTTCTATTTTCTTATTATTATTATCTCATTTTCTTTTTTGCATTGCACATTTTTCCCATAAAATCTCCTATATAAATATGTTATGAAAGTAGCATTTATTATTCAAGATAATATATTCTTGTTATGTATTTGTAATATAATACTATTTAATATTTTTTTTTAAGAAAAACAAATTTTTTCATATATACTTCAAAATTAATTAAATTAATCATAATACATATTATATAATTATCATAGTAATAATTTTTTTAATCGTAATTATAAAAGAAGACTTTAGTTTTTACATCATTAAAAAAGTTATATTAACTTTTGTTAATTAATATAATATTATAAATATTTTGTTTTTACGTTTATTATGTTTTAGCTCCAAATGTTTATAATATTCCTTCTACTCTCGGCGGAACAAAGGAAGGAGATAAAAAAACAGCACCAGCTTATTCAATATCCGGTAGACAAAAAGATTCTACTGATGATCGCATTTTAGTTCCTGGACCTGGGACATATGAAGCTGTTAAACCGGATACAGTTAGAATAAAAAGTCCTGCTTATAGTATAAGTGCTCGTTATCAACTGCCTGATGATCATTCGCAGATTCCAGGACCTGGTGCACATTGTCCAGAAAAAGTATTTTTAATTTTTTTCTAATCGATTTTAATATAATTAATATAACTAAACAATTCAAAAGTTTTAAAACTTTTTTAATTGATTTCATTTGAATAAATTGTATTGTTATTTTTGAAGATATATAAAAATCCGAAAATACGGATTCGTATCGGATAGAAATCCGGAAAATCTCAGCATAAAAAATTGGAATACAAAGATAAATTTAATAAAATGAATATATAAAAATATTTTGATTAATGAATTTTAAGAATCTCAATACTTTTATATTGGAAAATACTTTTGGAATTTTAATTCAATTTCGAAAATAATTCTTGATTGAATTTTATATTATAGCATTAATTTTTTATGAATATTTATTTTGCAGGTAATTCTTGATATTCCTCCAGCACATTCATTTGGTATTAGACACTCGCCGTATATATGCAATTTGAAGGACACCGTTTATTAACATAAGAATTTTATGTAATTCAGTTTTAATTATTATTCTATTTATAAATAAATTAATAATATAATGAGCAATATATAACAAAATAGCAATATAACAAAACAATGAGCAATATAATAATATAATAACATAAAATCTCATTGAAAAATAACTATTTTTTACATGAAATAATTTTCTAACGCTTTGCTAAACTACAAAATATTACATAACTAAAATATTAGTGTTGTTAAATATTAAAATGTTATCAAAAATAAAGATAAAAATATTATTAAATATATTAAATCAATCATATAATTTTATTTCTGGTACAAATTATGATAATTATGAATACAGATAACATTAATTATAGATAATATTTTTCACATAAAATTTATATTTATGAAATGAATAAAAATAGTAATGAATAGATTTTTTTTTATTGTTTTAATTGTATGTTATATTGATTTTTGAAAATAAGACGAAATAAATATTATAAAAAAAACTAAACTTATATTTTATATACAATTTAATTAAAAACATTTTTTAATAAATAATATAAATTTTTAGTATTATTTTATTATAAATAGTATTATTTTAAAACTATTTCTTACTTAAATATTTTATAAATGCAATTAATTTTTATTTAGAATGGATATATATTTTATCTATATCTTATGTAGAATATCTTTAATTTCATGACAAAAATTATAAAAACTTTTTTGTTTCTTGTTATAAATATATAAATATATTTCACTTTTATTTCATCAATAATAAAACTTAAATTTAATTTCCATATATATAATAAAATATACATTTCTAAAAATTTTTTTATACAAAATATATATATAATACGAATACATAAATGAACAAAATATAGTTAGAACAATATTTACAGTCATTGTGCAAAAAAACTGTAATATTTGAGACATATAAATGTTATAATTTGAATGTTTATACAATTTATACAATTTTCTAAACAATTAGTATTTATAAAACCAATTCTGCTACCATTTCAAATAATATTAACAATAATTTCAAATATGATAATTTCGTGAATCACATTTCGAATTATTTATTCAAATAATATATTTCATCAACAGCATTTGTGTTTATTATAAACACATTCTCCTGATATCCAAGTTGACAATAATTTTAAATCATTATCTAACATTACTATATCAGCATCTGCCCCATAGTTTAAAGTTCCTTTCGTTCTTTCAATACCAAGAGTTTTTGCCGGATGAAGAGTTGCTGCTTCTAAAGCTTCTACTATTGAACAACCTAGAAAATAGAAAATTTATTAAAAATAAAATTTTTTTTCAAAAAAATTAATTTAATAAATAAAGGAAATCTATATGACATAAATATTATATATATATATATATATATATATATATATATATATATATATATTTATACT